ACAAGTAAAACTTGCTATATAAAAAAATTTTAACTAAAAACAAAGTCTACCAACCGAAACACAAAACATATAAAGAATATAAAATAATATCATCGTTTCATTGAAAGTGTCATCATAAAACAAAATGTTTATATATTATTCTACAAGACTACTCAAAAAAATAGCTTGAGCACCTTCACATTTTGGAGAACATCATTAAGCTTTTAATTTTGACTTTTTTTTAAAAAAAAATAATAATAAAATGGAAACATCTGTAAGTGGGTTGGGTCGGTTAACTAGTGGTTTAAGTCTTTAAACCATGACCAAACCGAACCACCGTGATTTTGTTTAAAATAAAACCAAACCAAACCAAAAACTATGTCAAACCGACCCAAACCGACCCGAGTCGGTTTGGTTCGGTCGGTTTGGTCGGTTTTTCGATTTTTTTGCCCACCCCTAGATGTAATCACAAGTCTCTATTTCATTAGCATGATAATGCATGAAATTTGATATGCATATAATAAATGTGATTATAAATAATTTATCTTTTATGATTTTGATACTATCCTTGAAAAATTTAATATGTTTAAAACATAATTCAAGTGATATTATCATTAGGGGAGTAAATACGCGTTATACTATTTTTCTTTGACCAATGTTTTATTCCATTAATTGGAATCTACAAAATTTTTAATGAGACAACTTTTGTAACGTATTTAAAAGAATAATATATTATTTTTCCTTGATTAGGATTTTTCTTACAATGTGTTTCTCAATAGGGTTTTAACAATACACATTCTTTATGTAATGAATGTCCATAACATACAACACTTTTACTATCAAAATAATACTCTTATATGTATGAGACTCCCAAAGAAATCAATAAGAGCTATATTTCGATTCATCATTTTATTATAGTCATTAAATGTTGATAAATATCTCGTATGAAGACGGTGTTATTCAAAGACTGTACAAGACAATATATGCACACATCACCAAAATTTGCAATATTGAAGATATTGATATACAAGACATGAATACCTTGATATAAGAATTTTCACTTATTGAAATTAGAGGGAGAGGTTGTACTCTTTTTCATTCGATCAAGTTTTGTCCCACTGAAATTTTTTTGATAAGGTTTTGACGATGCACCATTTTATTATTTCAAATTATTTGTACTTTTTTTTCATTTATTGATATTTTTGTTCAATCACGTTTTTGTCAAACAATGTTTCAATGAGCTAGTTATTGTGCAAATAATCATAAATGAGGAGTGTTGTAATATAATGCGATAATGATTGATGATTATTTAGTATTATCATGATACTAAAAAAGTCGTTTCTGGTCTACAAGAACACTTTCATTGTAATTTTAACTCTTATTCTGGACCGCATAAATATGGAGCATTTATTCTCAATAAAAGACAATTGAGTTTTGACTCTAAACTTTTCTTTCCTATTTTACTCCTTTTATTTCATAACATGCGGTAATATATAAAATATATTATATTATTATAACAAATCTGATCAAGTTGTTATCGGATCGGATTGACTTATATCCATATTTGTCCCATTTAGTTAACGAATTATTGGATTCGAATATTGATCGGGATATCGGATTAAAACCTTTAATCTATCTCCTATTAGTTTCATCGGATTCGGACCGAATTCGAATCAAAATCCAACCTATTGTTAGCTCTAGTATCAACACTGTTTTATAATGTATAATTAACTATATTGTTGTCCTCATATCAAACTTCAAATAAAAAATGACATGATGCTATATGATCCTGTTTCTGTTAAAGTTCATCAACACAGTGCACGAGATCTTGGTGGCATCAATCGCAAATCACTTGTCTCAATCAGCAATTTTCGAATGTATAAAACTTAAGGGTCCATGATAATTAAAAAGGAAAAATTCATTTGTGCAATGATTAAGAGATTGTAAATTTTACAATCTTCCACATTTGGGTGGGGTACACTAATTAATTATGAGGCTCCCTAATGTGAGAGATTATAAAATTTACAATCTCCAGATCATTGTACACAACATGGTGAAAATAAAGGACTCAATTGAGAACAACCGTGAAATCTAATAAAATAATGGAGAAGAAAAATGAAAGATAGGGTTTCTTATTTAATTGCTTAATGAATATATAAGATATAAGCTTTATTTCAACTTGCTAGCAAATAGCTTAAAGGACTAATTTACCCTTAAAGATAAATAACTAACACCCGATAACTATAAATAATAATATATTTTAATATTTTCCCTCAAACTCATAATACTATTGAAAGATGCATCGAGAGTTTACTAAATAAAAAAAGAACCAAGAAGTGGAGTATGACTCTGCAAACAAGTCATCAATTTCCAAGGAAGAATGAATAAAAAACCAATGTGTGAGTGCCAGGCTTATAATGATGCGGAGTAACATGACAATGAATCTCAATATGTTTGGTCCGCTCATGAAATACTGAAATGTGCGCAATTTGAATAACAAATTTATTGTCACAATACAATGTAGTAGGTTGGCGAAGAAATAAATCCATGTATGCTAGCAACCGACATAATCAATCTATCTCAAAAGTAGTAGAAGACATGGCAAAATACTGTCTTTGTGGAAGATCTAGAAATAGTACCTTGCTTATTGGTCTTTCAAGTAATAAGATAATCACCAAAAAAGATACCGAAGTTAGTGGTAGACTTGTTATCCACAGGTTCGCTAGCCGAATTAGCATAAAAATATGCTCGCAACTCTAAAGACGAAGTAAACGAAAGTAAAAGACTTTAAAACTGAGTACTCTGAAGATACATCAAAATGTGAATAACAACAATCAAATGAATTATACTAAGCGAGAAAACAAATTGAAATAACTATATGAATGACACACATAATATCTGGATGAATGATGGTGAGATAAACCAAACTACCAACAATAGTACAATATAAACTAAAACCCGACATTGAGAACCATCAAAAGGAGATAATCGAGCATTAAGCTCAAGAGATGTATCAACAATCTTATTATCAGTAAGATCGGCTTGCTCAAACATATCAATTACATACTTAGACTGATAAAGAAGACAACCTTCTAAATTTTTCTGTGAGTTGCTGATATGTTAGCCACAATTTGAAAAGATTGGATCATGGTTGCAACAAATGGTATGTTGAAGACATGTGTGCCACTTTTACATAAGCTTTGGGGACCTCTGATGTAATTTACCAAAAAGTTACGAGCACATTGCTCTAGTCTTCATTCCTAATTTCAATCCGGCTACACCGTTTTTCTATCCCCTCACCATTGCATCCATCAACCCATGAAACCCTAATAATCAGTACTCAATATCAATCAATAAGCAATAATGGCGGAACACTTGGCCTCCATTTTCGGAACGGAGAAGGACCGGGTTAACTGCCCGTTTTACTTCAAGATCGGCGCCTGCCGCCATGGCGACCGCTGCTCCCGCCTCCACAATCGCCCCACAATCTCGCCGACACTCGTTCTCGCCAATATGTACCACCGACCGGACATGATAACTCCCGGCGTCGATCCCCAGGGTCAGCCTATAGACCCCAAGAAGATCCAGGAGCATTTCGAGGATTTTTATGAGGATATATTTGAGGAGCTCAGCAAGTTTGGCGAGATCGAGACACTCAATGTTTGTGACAATCTTGCTGATCATATGATTGGGAACGTTTATGTTCAGTTCAAGGAGGAGGACCAGGCTGCTGCTGCTCTACAGGCGTTACAGGGGCGTTTCTATTCGGGTCGGCCAATTATTGCAGATTTCTCTCCGGTGACTGACTTTCGTGAGGCCACGTGCAGGCAGTTTGAGGAGGATAATTGTAACCGTGGGGGCTATTGTAATTTTATGCATGTGAAAATGATAGGGAGGGAGCTTAGGAGGAAACTATTTGGGAGTCATCACCGCAGGTTCAGAGGAAGTAGGAGCCGCAGCAGGAGTGTGAGTCCGCCACACTACCACAGGCGAGATAAGGAGAGGGAGACAGAAAGGGAGTATGACCCGCGAAATAATCGCAGAGGGGATTATCGAGGTGGTAGTGGGAGGAGGAGTGGTAGCGACAGACATGGGAGGTACGAGGGAGATAGGAGGCGGCATGGGGCTAGTTCTCCGCCAAGGAGAAGCAGGAGTCCAGTGAGAGAAGGAAGCGAGGAGCGTAGAGCTAGGATTGAGCAGTGGAACCGAGAGAGGGAGGAGAAAGCTTAGTGATGCAGTTGTTCGGATTGCTTGTGTTCTGTCTATCCTCGATGGCAGATGAGGGTGGAAATGGAGCTGGCTAGTCATGCAGTTTTTGTACTTCTGGTGATTTTTCTAGCTATTTATTCTTCTTAAAACTTCATAATATTGTTTTTATTTCATGGGATAATGCTGGTGAATTTAGAATCTAAAACCAGTGTCTTTTTTCTTTAAATCTAGTGATTGAAGACTGCTGGCTGATGTTTATAGTTCTCTTACAATTACAATGGCTTAACTTTCTTCATTGTGTTGCCATGATGCTTATATATCTTGTTCTTTATTGTGAAATTTATCCGCAGTACTGGCACTTTTTCTGGTTGTATGTTTGTTTTCAATTTTCACACATTCAAGTCCATATTTTAATTTGGGAGTTTGTGTTGTATTATCATATAAACTTTGGAGGTTTAGAGTGTTGATTGGCCTGGTGTACTGGTTTTGTGATTAAAATAATATATAGTTTGGTTAAAGTTTTAGAGGGCAAACTCATCATGAAATACATGGCCAACTATAGTGACTTAGTAGAGGAGTATGTTTGTGTCAATGTGTATATGTTTATGGATTTATATGTACATCTCCCACTTTTTGGAATTGCAACGAGTTATCATAATTGATGATTGACATCTTATACATATTTCTGTTCCACGTGTACCTTTAATATCGAACAGTTACAATCGTCCACCTTGTAGCCATTGCATTTTCAAT